TAATTACACGATACTTTAATAATTTATTTCAGCTTGTGAAGCTAATTAATAAATTAGAAAATCATTGGAATTTAATGAATTATTATTCTTGCCTGTTAAAGAAATAATTGTTACTCATGTAAATGAGATTTAATTGATAAATTGGAAATTATTTGAATTGAAGGAATTTAATTAATATATTAAGAATTGTTACATTTGAAAGAATTTGATTATTTCTGCTGATTAAATAAATTATTGTAAATTCTATAAATCATGCTGATTTAAATATCCTATTTTTATTTTAGTTATTATTATTGACCCATAGTGAGTGTCAAAGTCGGCCATCTCGTCTCTATCACTTCGAGATTAGGCTTGATACTTACTGGGTACACGTTATTTAAGTACTCGTACTACACTTGCTGCACTTTTTGTGCAGGATCTGAGACAGGTACTAGCGGAGGACCTATCATCACATACTCACGTCATCCTGAGGTATAGTGATGAGCTACCGTTCTGCAGCTACCAGTGTCTCTTCTAATATTTACATTCTATCTATTTCATTTCAGACAGTATTTGGAATTTTGTATAATCTACTAGATGCTCATTCACTTGTAACACCAGGTCTTGGCACACACATTGGTAGAGTTTGTGTTTATATTTTTTTGGTTTTAAATTTTATCAATGTATGCTTAATTTATTAGTTGGCTTGCCTAGTTGTAGTGTTGGGCGTTATCACGACCTACATGTGAAATTGGGTCGTGACAATAAGCATAAGCATCTTTGCAAAGTGTAGACTTTGTTGACAATATTTTTTGGAACCCAAAAATATTACATTGTGTGGTGGACATCATTTACACAAGTTGTATCTCTTCTTTTACACCTAAGAGGCAAAGACTTTTTTGCCTATAAAAGGGAAGGTCATTAGTTCATTTTAGACACACTAACAAGACTTGAGTATTCATTTCTTGTTTCTTGCTTTCCTCCTTTATTAAGAGTGTTTTGTATGAGAGTTAGCGTTGGGAAGCACTTGTGTGAATCCTTTCTTTAGAATGTCTTGTGAGATCATTCTCTTAGGATATTGGGGATTAATTAGAGTGTTTACTCTAATTTTGTACTCTATTTTGTACTCTTATTGGTATAGTGAAATTGCTCCTCTCCGCTTGTGGACGTAGGTCACACTAACCGAACCACGTCAAATTAGTGTCTTCTTTATCTATTTTAATTGCCGTTATTATCAACTTAAATTGTCTTTGTTATTGTCATTATAACGTTATTTGATTAAATTTCGCACTATCCGAGTTCCGATCCTAACACAACCTCTTCCCTTTGACGGCATGATGCAATGCGAAAGGCAGCTGAATCAATGAATACAGAATTCCACCACCAGCCGCAGCTAATATATACCTGTTACATGAGATCAAATCATACGTATTAACATATTACTATTATTTTTCATTTACCACAACGAAAAAGGGAAAAAAGAAATTATTTAATGATTTATTTGTCCAAGTATCTGGAGACTGGAATCTAGCTACAAAACTTGTCTTTCTTATTTTATTTCATGAAAATATGGCACGTATCATGAGTTAGCTAAAATAAAACAAACAAACAAACAAACAAAACGGGTAATTTTAAATATCTCCTAATTAATTAAAAAGACACATTATTTTAGGTGCCGTCACGACGTCACGCGGAGGGAAAATTAGGTCGCGACAAATTTGTGGAGCATTAATTATTATTTAAGCATTTATCCGGTTCATATTCTTGAAGTCATCAGCTCTCTGTCTTTAATAAAAATTATTGTACTATATTTTAGGGTAACTTTTTGGAAGTACGTAGCGGTCTAATTTTGTTAACAATAATTATGGAGATAATTTTGTAATTGGAATTGGCCCGCGTACATGCATTTGCACCTGACAATACCAGCAATAATTTAACAAAATAAATAGTAGATTTTCATCATCTCGTAGTTCTTACAGAATCAAAGTAGAGAGTATAACACCTCAAAATGAAATGACTACAGAAAAAGATGGCAATTGAATTTTTATTTTTTATTTTCCATCTAGTCAGAGCTAGAAGCCTCTTCCATTGCGATTGGCAGAAGTAAAAATGGTGAGTATAGCCATGGTAGTAAAACCAATAAGGAGTATTCCACTGGCAATAATTCCTCTGTCCAGAAACTTTTGGCTCTTGTCCTGAAATTCCTCAAGTCCATCTACCCCTAAAAGTTCAAAGCTGTCAACTAATTGGTCTATGAAAATTTTCAGTTCAATACTGACACCAAATCCTACCCCAACTCCACTTGCCAAGAAGAACGCTATAACCTGCGAATTACGTTCGAAAATACATGTAAGTAAAATATGGAGAATGAATGCAATGGGAATGTGAGTATGATCTCTGATTTTTATGCAATTTGTAAAAACAGATTGCAAGTTCTGCTTTTGCCCTTTTGGCTTAAACCAACTCCACTGTGATGTTTACACGTTTTACAAAATAAGAGAGACTATTTGGTGAAATAGATTGGTCCAACTTTTGCTACTTTTTTTTAGGAATATTGATTCTTATTAGCCTATTTCTAAGCACTTAAAGTGACTCACTAATAGTATATTTTATAAGTGAACATAGATTTTTTACCCAGCAGTCAATCTATAGCTTTACAACCAACTATATTATTCGAAAGCTGGTTAGATCTATTCTCTTAGACTATAAGTCTATAACTTCTGTAAAGTCATGAAAGCATAGAAGAAATATGAATCTTTGTGTATAAAGTTAATGTGAAAGTCATTAAATAATTTTATACACTTTGGTGTTTACGTAAGTACAACACTAAGTAAAGTTTGTAATTAATAATTTTTAATATCTTACAAGTGCATTAAATAGCAGAGAGCCGTTTGTATACTACGATAGTAAACAGAAGCATATTATTATATATAGCTGCTTAAGAGTTCACAGAAGAAAACCTTATCTCCGTAAAACTCAAACATCGGCAGAAAGTCGCCCTTAATCAACCTCTTCTCTTTGACGGCATGATACAGTGCGAAAGGCAGCTGAATCAATGAATAGAGAACTCCTCCTGCAGCGGCTGCTAAGACATACCTGCAAATTGTAATCATGAGATTGAATCATAAATATTTGCTATTTTATAAATTTACCACAATAACAAAGAAGATAATTAAATTAATTTTTTTTACTCATTGCCAGGCACTTGTAACCTAGTCTACTTGTTATTCTTTTGGATTTTATTCAAAATATGGCAGATATTATTTAACCAGGAAAAACAAACGAACAAAGACAGGTAATTGTTACCAAAAGGAGTAATTAAGTCGTTGATATCCAAAATTTTAACTGAACATAATTCCTGGAATTAGATTTATCATACAAAACCCCCACCATCTAATAAAATACTTAAACATTTTTCCTTTGCCACTTGAATCTGGAAAGAAAGAAATTCATCACCTGAAGCCTTTGATGTCACTGAATTTGGTTTTGTCGCCATCTAATTTGAAGTTGTTTGTAACAATAAGCGCAAGGGCAGCTGTGCACGATGCGAGAGTAAGTATCCTCAGTACAGCAATTGAGTTGATAATTGTACGCTTAGAAGTTGCCATTCTTCACTTAGTTCAATTTCTTCTTTTCTTGACACACTTGAATATTTTCAATAGAACAGATACATCCTTTTATATACTAGTAACCAGCACTTAAACATCGCTGAATTGGTCGAAATGGCCACACCAAAAAGAAATTCTCTGAATAATGTTATTTTAGCTTGACGTGAATGTCAAAGCAGGAAACAAACAATCCTTTCCCAATTTAAACAAACGTTTGAACGAGCAAACACGTAATTTCTTCGAAGGGGAATAAAGAATCTATGATGATTTTGTTATTTACTTATAAGATTAATAGCGTTGAACAAGCAACGAATCTAAATACATACATAATGCTAAGTGTTAGTCAAGAAAGAAAACAAGATAATGAGACACCTTCTTGTCGTTTATAATCAGGCATTCCTTTTGTATTTGCTATACATACTTTCGGCTCAATTGAAATTTAAATATTCGGACGCCATTTGGTTTGGTAATCTTAACATTTTTGGACAAAGATGTAGAGGTTCCATTATCTAATGCCAAATGACCACTTTCTGTCCTGAATAGTAGACCGATTCTAAGGTAAATATTACAAAAGGCCATGGTTTGAATTCTTATGTTACATGAAAATCCGAACTGCAATACCAAAAGAGTATTATATATCCTTGTGGGGGCAGCCAAAAATGTCTTCCTGTAAGAACATTTATTGCTTAATCTTGGTCAATTAAAACATATTTCCACCTCAATATGTCTCTTGACTACATATATTAATGTGGTTCGAGTGTGAATAACTTTTTCCTGTATTTGATTGCGACAACGAAGAAATTCTTTAAACTCAGAATGTACCGCAAAGAAAATTAGGCGTATCAAAACAGCTGATATGAAAATGTGATAAAGCTCTCATATTTCAAACTACGTAGGCCAGAACAATCAAATAGCAAAATTTAGTAACATCAACCCTCACAAAACCCTGGCAATACACAACAGAATCTTACAGCAACCTGTTTCGGTGTCCTTTTTTCATATTTTTACCACTAACAACAGCATTTTCTTAAGTCAGTAATCTAAATATTTACGAAAATACAAGTTCAAGGAGGCTTTATGCCTATCTCAAACTAGTGAAGAGACTTATCTTCCACCCTAAACGTATGTACAATGAAGGACAAGCCCTTCTGAGCACTGCAGGGAACATTCTCTCCAGTAGCTAATATGCACAAGTAGAGAACCACCTTCAAGCCAAATAGCCTATTAATATCCCAGTGTGCCATGTGCCGCAAGCTTTAGAGTTCAATCTCTAAGTAAACTTTTTTACTGAGCATCAGATATTTTGTATGTGCGGGTGATTCGGATCTGAAGTAAATGAAAAACGAGGATGCTTAAGAAGCTTACCTACTCATAGTTATGCAGGAAAAATAATACAGGACCATCGCAAATTTCATTCCCTATATCCTATACCGCAGCAGTAACCACCAAAAATATCTCTTCAGCTATTCAAGGCAGATAACATAAACTTACAGGGCAACTTGTATATAAGAACTTAAAAAGAAAAGAAACAATCAAACAAACAAAGGTGAAAGATCATGGGGTTTTGAACAGGGCAGTGGAACCTTTATGCTTGGGAGTCCATGAATCCCTTCGTTAAAAGTTTTTCTTTTTCTTTGAAATGTCCCAAGCCAGAAAGGCTATGAAACAATGATATCTATTGAAGATGAGAAAATTAACTTTAAGAGATTACTTACTATTCAAACTAGTTCACCCCATGTGACTTTAGCACACCCGAGAAGATGAAAGAGATGCTTTTTTTCTACCTTAAACAGACTTAATATTAAAACTAAAAAATGAAAAAATAAATAAACCTTAAAGTTTAATTTAACCAAAATACAGAGAACGGTAAAGTTCTTTAACTCCTCATTGAATTTATACAGCGTTAAGTTTTGTAAACTTGCTGATTTGATAGTAGTATATAGGGAAAAGGCCCAAAAATGACCTTGTGGTATTCGAAATGGATCAATTATAACCCCCGTTTAAATTTGAATCCAAAAATGACCCTGCCGTTATAAAATGGGTCTAATAATGCCCCTGTGTTATTCAAAATGGATCAATAATGCCCTGGAATTTTTTTTTTTTTTAAAATGCTTTTAAAAACTGAAAAATATATATTCTGTAAAAACTAGAAAAAGAAAGGAATTTGCAAAATATATATTTTTAAGTCTTTTCAGTTTTTTTAAAGTATTTGTTTGATAAAAACTGAATTTTTTTTTTTTTTTTAAAAAAACTGAAAATTTATTGAACTCTCCTAAAGCAGTGGACTACATATGCATTAGTTTTAAAAAAATAAAAATATTTTGCAAAATCTTTTTTTTTTCAATTTGACGGTTCAATATTTTTTCGGTTTATTTTTATAAAATAAAAAATCTACCATAATTATCGGTACAGTTATAGATTTATATAAAAACATACGGTTTTATTAAAAAAAACCTTAAAATCGGTTCGGCACGGTACGATTATGTCGGTTTAGTCGGTTTTTAAATATTCATTTACAGTTATATGTCGGGTTTTTTAAATAAATTTCCAGTTTTTTTTAAAAAAAAAAAATTCAATAAATTTCCAGTTTTTAAATTTTTTTTTTTTTCCAGTTTTTACAAAACAAATACTTAAAAAAAACTGAAAAGACTTAAAAATATATATTTTGCAAATTCCTTTCTTTTTCTAGTTTTTACAGAATATATATTTTTCAGTTTTTAAAAGCTTTTTTAAAAAAAAAAATTCAGGGCATTATTGATCCATTTTGAATAACACAAGGGCATTATTAGACCCATTTTATAACGGCAGGGTCATTTTTGGATTCAAATTTAAACGGGGGTTATAATTGATCCATTTCGAATACCACAAGGTCATTTTTGGGTCTTTTCCCTAGTATATATTACCATCTTATACTGAACTTAATTATTTAAAAATGCTTCCATCAATCAATTAAACACACCTCAATCTCAAACTAGTTGGAGGCTATATAAATCCTCTGTATCAATTCTGCTCTAGTTCCATACTAATTTAAGGTAAATTAGGGACTATAAAACTAGATGTAAATCTCACATTTATCTTTAAACAAACACACAAATCTCTAACTGGAATAATCAAAATAGTTCAATCTTACGACTTCTTCTCCCATTTTATAAGAGCTGGCTCCATCCCTGTAATTGAAGATTCAAGCATGATAACACATTACCTGGGCGAACGCATAAATTGCTCGGACAATTCTAGCATAATCAGTTCCAAGCATTTGAATGACAACATCTGCTAGAAGTGTTCCCCACAGACTGCATAAGATGCCAGATACAATGTGGTCACAGACTGTAAGAACAGTACGAGGAGAAGTATATGAAACCAGAAAAACTGAGAACTTAATTCACTGCTTCACCTTCACTGATAGAGACAGCAAATGGGCAACAAAGTCATGGAAAGAAATTAAATAAAAGAGTGAACCATATTAAAAAGGAGTTCCCTAACTGGCAAACCTAGAGAGAGAGTTCGTAAAAGAAACATCTTTTCCAAGTGAGAACGGTCATAAGGTCCAAATAGCAAAAAATATGCAGAGTTATCCTATAAGCTAAAGCCTTCAAGAGAGAATGGTCATAAGGTCCATAATTCATCATTCAATCATTTACTATATTTTTTTATTGCCATTCAATCATTTACTGTTGAACTAACGAGTATACTCTATTGCCTTTGAATACAAATACAGTTGAAGCATTTGCCACTTGCATCAACCAGTTCGACCCAAACGACTACGAAATCCAATATGACGGCAAGCCAGAGAGCAGGAAAATTTGATAACCACAAAATCCAACACAAACCTATGACTTCTCTCCATATATTTCGCCCCACAACTTCGTTAAGTACTTGGTTATAGAAAGCTTCAGTTTCGATTTTGCAATCTTGCCAAAGAATATAAGCATTCATTTATCCTTAATCCTGATACCAAACAAGCTCTTGTTAGTCTAAGCACTTGCAAAAAATGGAATAAGTTACAAAATACAACTCAAATTTCGGACCAGGTGAGCAAGCTTTATGAATCCTCATATTATTTCCACTCCATTTGGATTCGTTTCATTCCAGCGTGGAATAATTTGTCTATTAAGACAAATTAGGTGTTCTCTGTGGTGTCAAGTTTAGCTCAGATAAGTGAAAACGGCCCAGCCCATACATGTTTGGGCCACTTGTGTTGGACAAAAATTCATTGATAGGTCAATTTGGACACAACCCGAACTAACCCATCTAAAAGTATGGAGTCAATTTTGACTATTAAGGTAACCTAGTTTACCCATTAAAACTCTATAAAACTTATGGGTTAAGTCATAACCAATTCATAGACTCAACCCATTTTAACCCGTCCCAACTTGATTCAACCCATTTATTTGACACCCCTAAGGTTTTCTAAAAGAGTCACCTGGTCCAGCTAAACACGCAAAGCATAGTAGATTGACATGAATGGGAGCAAGATGTTTGCTATGGATCCTACAACTGAAGGAAGAGGATTGTTGTTCCAGTAGCTCTTTTTATTGAAGAAGAGATGAATGCTCTGATGATAGAGCAATGTCTACTAATGACGCTAATGCAGCAGCAACTTTAATTAAAAGGACGGCAAGGAGAAGAACTAAGTGATCTTTATTGCAGATATAAACAAGTGAAGCAAATTGTTCTTCTGAGAAAGTAAAAAAGTGAAAGACATGGCACTGTTTCCAGCACAAATGACATTACATTGGACCAAGAAATGTCATCATACTCCTTAGACCAAAGTAACGGGAGGCAGCACCTGCTAAGCCCTGTCAAAACCAATAACAATGAAATGTTAGCATGTACTTAGAACTCTATAGAAATTGTAGTTATTGAAGCAGAGCCTGAAAGAGAATTACTAACTTCATCATAAAAGGTTTCAGTTATTTATTATTGATACGGTCTTTCTAAGTCGACATTTTTCTTTTTCATTTATCTTGTGTTTTAGGTCATTTAACATAACAATTCAGCAGTTATGGCCTTTCAGGATGATTAACTTTCTTCAAATGCATAGAAAGTGTGGAGAATCTTAAGGAAAATAAGGAGTAAGAGGCTGCATCATTCATGAATAAGATAAACTGATGACACTCTTCCTATAGAGGTCTCTGCTGGACTTTATGCCAGTAAAACAACTATAGGCAGTAATCTTTTGTAGTGAAGCAGAATGGCAACCCTCAAACCAATGTGTATTCATAGGATTCTTAGACCTTTTTTGCAGCCAGCATGGCCAATCTGGACTCCAGGTTAAGAGCCGCCACTTCTCCACCCTAAAACCAACAAGAGCCATGTGAAGCGAGGAAAACCATGTGAGAGAACCACAAATCAACTGTTATAACTCATCTAGTAAGACACTGCAATGCAGGACAGAGTCTTTGGTATGCCAAAGAATCACTATTTCTGAAGAACCATCTCTTTTCGTATGTTTCCTTCCGTCCAAGAGATTTCATTACAACGCCGTTAGGTTGCTACATATGAAAAGGAACTTTCTGGAAAGTCAACTTTCTTGAACCTTAAACTTTTTCATGCATTTCATAGCCGGGAAATTTTGGGAAATATGGTTGCAAAGGATCCTCCAAATTAAGTCGTGCAAAATTTGCAGGACTCGTTTAGGAAATTGATTTATTCTTGATTTTAAATTTCCTTTTCTTTTCAAGCAAATGCATGCAACCAAATGATAGTCCATTTATTTTACTTTTACTTGCTACAACTTTCTCAAAAAGCACATTCCTAGCAACTTTCTTAACATTCAACAAAGCCTAACTTTTAGCAGATGTATCCAAAACAGCTCTTGAATTACCAACACAATGCCAAGACTACATAACTTTTGCAAGTGTTCACACTCGAATGAAATCCTTAAACAAGAAAAGTGGATTTAAAAGACGCTAGAACCCAGACCACATAACTTCCTCTAAAATAAATGGTTAATCAACCTTCCTTTTTATAATTATAAATGGTTAGCCAATTTTAAGACCATAATTCACGTGAAAGAAATAGAGATCCAGATGTCAGAGCACATTTCAGGAACAGTAAAGAGACTCATTTAAAGTGTCTAACATATGCTACAGTTTCCAACAAACTCAGGACCTTTAAGCACCTTTTTAAGGACTTCCCTACTTATCTGATAATTGGCAGCCTCCAATAGCATCTTTCCAGAAAATCTCCTGGCTAACTAGAAAAGCAGCAAACACGGTCTGTCGTTACAAACAGGATCAAAGCACAGGATAAGGAAAGCAAATTGCAGAAATCACAAGGTATCAATTTTACCCCGCTGTATATCCTCCCCAATGTTAGCACCCCGCCACCCTAGAACATAAAGGTCATGTTAATTAAAGTATGACCAAAAGGCTCAAAAGATTCACAAGTTTCCACAATATAAGAATAAACCTTTAATATTATTGAACGGGCTCCTTCCGCCCCAGCTTTTATTGCGGCAACAGCTTGTACCTTCCACTTAGTAAGTCCAAACTCTAGACTACCATGCCCATCAGAATCATCCAAGCTCTCTTTTGAGCTGTGGAAGATATATATTCTTCTTGTAAGGTCCATATAAGAGTCAATATTTCCAAACAAACAAGAGTAATCAATATCTCTATGTGTGATTCAGTGAGACCTAGCAGAAGAAGAAAGGTAGAGAAAACCTCCTATACAGAAACTGGAGAATTAAGAGATATTAGGAAAATTATGTTGTCAATCAACCTGACAACCTTCAAGCGCGCCAAAATCCAATGGAACTGATCGGGAAGGAAAATAAATCGAGGGGGAGAAAAACAATAAAAAACTATCTATATGTCCCATTATATAGGACATTTTCTATTTTCTGACAACCTAAACTGTTCAAAAGTTACAACATTCTATTAGTAACATCATCTTTTTAAGATGAAATCAACTAGTAATATCATTCTATACAACTTTCACAAGTTTCACAAACTTAAACTCATTTTACTAATCAAATAGTGTAGTATTTCTCTATCAAACTAATTCTTCAATCACTATCTTAAAATTTTCTCTCTACCATTTGTATAATACAAGTGAAATAAATATTGTAAACTTCATATATCATATAAGACGGAGGGAGTATGTGAAATAACTAGCAAAAAAAATCTTAAAGCATGCAGAATAACAAAACAACAAAAATTAAGTCCCTCTCCTCAACCACACCATTTGTTCTCATAGAAATCAAAAGGAAAGGGACTTACCTTGAGTACTCCTGCAGCAGATAAAGAAATATCTCTGCTTCCAGGTCCTCTGTAGACAATTTGGCTGAACATCTTATACTTAATTTTTCCCTGACACCAAGCAATACCTCTCTATATGATGGTCTCCTACCCCTAGATTGAATTTCAAACAACATCAATCACTGCCACGTTAAAACAAAAAAAAAAAGAACTAAAATAAAAGAATCACGTAGAAGGTCAGGAAATGCCAAAACATTGTGTATATCAAACTAGAGCTGAATCGGGTGACGATCACCAGTTATATCAGTTTCATTTTAAAAAGTCTAATTTCATCAAACTAGAGATGATCGGGTGACAACTGTCAGCTATTTTGGTTTCATTATCACAAGTCCAACTTTACAAGCAACCAATAAACATCACTACCATTTGAACTCCACATACTCAACCACTGAATCTTTTAATGATGAGCTAGCTATCAAAAGCTTGAGTTGTGATAATTCATACTTCCCGGAGGCATCCATGTAATTTGCATGTAGAACATAAATGTTGATGACAGCGAATCAAGTTTGAATAATGAAGATAACACGCATCTGAGTTTTTAGAACAGAACTCAATTATCTATCCACTCGTCATAACAACAAAGAACCCTCCGCCAAGCCCCTGAGAGAGATTAATGCATGATTTCCCCCAATTTTACAACCAAATATTATAGTGATTTATATTTGAGTTAAGCATATTTTTACATTGGTTCAAACTCCTTTCAGTAATTGGACCGAAGAAAATTTTAAAGTTCTGAGTAAAACACAACTATTCTAAACAAGTACTATATTAGAGAAACCTCAATGTGGAGCGAGCATCAGCTGCAAGGTATAAAAATCTTGATTCAAGCATGGACAAAAACTCTTCCCTCTCTTCCAGGTCTTCTCCAATCATAATGTAATCAATTTCATCTCTCTTTGTTACTGACTTCAACAATGGGCTGAAGTAACTGAAACATAACCACACAAGAAGGCAAATTGGTTTAGAAATGTCAAAGCACCTTATTTTTTAATAAAACGCTAAAAGTTTAGGACGATACTGTTACATGTATATTACTACCTAGGACCAAATAATATTCTTTGAAGTTCATAGAGTTCAGAATCAGTCGCGAGTTCAAGCACGGACCGAAGATCCGGATCAACTTCACTGCTGCCGCTCCCTACTATAGTGCATTTCACAATTCATAAGAAATTCACAGTAAAATTACCAGTAATAAAGAGAAAGTTGTAATGTGCTTTAAAGATATACCTTGATGTTGACTTGAAAGTAAGGCACGGGGAGGATTTAAGAGGAGCCTTGAGCCGGAGCTTCGACGGAAATATAATTTGATAATCTAAGAAAAAATAACAGAGTTCACAAAGAGTAATTCAACTAAATGGAGAATAAGGAATGTAAAGCTTACTTTGTGCCGAGAGGAAGTGATGAGCGGCCAAGTGATAGGGAGGAGAAAGGGAGTTTGATGTAAATGGCCAAAAAGAAGTGGCTGCCGGTGGAATTGGTGGTTCAACGGAACGGAGTAGAAAGCTCCGGCGGTACCCATTGTTGCGGACACAGTCTGCTCTGCTCACAACCTCAGTCCAGTAACTCCAGTCCACGCAAGCATATGGCCAAAATGGGGATTCCCTTCAATTGACGGAAATACCCCTTATAGTTTTCCAAATTCAAGAGAAAATTCACAGGGAATGACAAAAAAGATCTCTTTTATCTTTGGGAGTATGCACCTACTCGTGTTTGTAAGCATTGGATCTGCGGCATTTTGCGACTTAATGTTCAATTTGACCAACTTATGGAATAGTATTTTATCTCAATTTATTCAAAATACATAGTAAGATCTTGTCAAAGTGTAGAAATACTATCAAACTAAATTTTAGTTCCAAGGGTGAGATACCTTTATATGTAACTTAATAATATTCACAATTTTCACTCTCAAAGTATTAAGCTCCCGTTTGGCATAAAATTTGGGAAATTTTTTACAAATTTTGTTTTCAATATTTGTTTGTTTACAGATTTTAACTATTTTTTAGCAAATTTTAAAAACAAAATCTTCAAATCCCAAAAATATCTTTTCAAATAAAATGTATGTTCAAACAAAATTTCAACTGTCAAAAATTATTTTTTATATCATGTTTAAAAACTCATATTTTCAAGTTTCAACCAAAGCCTGCTAAAACAATCAAACACTACCACAATTCAAGAATTAAAAAAAGCATGTTTTGTAGTCCAGGAATTGTAGTTCAAGTAGAAAACTAACCTAAATAAAGGTGGTAAATAGATTTCTATTATAGTATAGCTAGGTAAAAATCCCAAACTAAAAACCAACAATGTAAGACTCCAATATGCACTGAATCAACAAATGCCATTTTCGTCTTCTTTTTCACCATTGAACTGTTAGCATAATTTATCCACTTCATAATGGAAGGAGGCTAGAATTTTTTTTTTTTACATTTCCTTAGTAACTTAGGTGTCATTGTAAAAAATACTAGCATAATAACTGGTAATATCGGATTTTGGTCTTAAAAAGGTCCATCTTTAGTCGTAAAAGTTAGAAATTAGTAACTTCTGCCCTTTTTTTGGCCAAAGGTATACTTCAAAAGTGTATAAAATAAATAAGAATCGATAAAAGCAGTAGAAAGAATTGGACAAAAGGTAGAGTGTAGAGATCACCACTTCATTTTAACACTACCAAAGGAATGACAGTGTGCGAGTCATGGTAAACAAAACAAAAGAATGAAAAAGTGAGAATATTCCAGGTAAAGTCTAGGCTTTCAATGTTCTTTGAACGCAAATAGCATGTGATCCCTCGCTTTCGAAATATGAAGCTTAACTTACAACAAGATCAGAGCAAAAGAACAGTAATCTAATTCAGAACTTAGAACCATAGCCATCCACAGGAGTAGGTTTTGGTTCATTATATATATTAGAGTCAAAAACCACATCTTCAAACTTCAAACACACTGCGATCATAAAATGTCAGCTTTTGATCCAAGTTACGTAGATCTGGGATTTTCGTCATTCATTTGGTTTAATATAAAACAAGCACACCTTGACCAAGTTCCAAACCAAAAGAAAAAACCAACATCTGATGACGACGAACTAGTTTGTGAAAGATCAAACAAAGAAGTGATTATGCCAAGTAACTTGCTGGTTTAGAATGAATACTATATCCAAGCCATCAACTATTTCCTTAAATAGGTAATCCTGAAAGCTTAGGCCAAAGAATAAATCATTCACACAAATAGGTATTTCTGCTTTGTAGAATATGACATAGAATTGGCTGTCAGAAGGAGATAACTTACACAGATTAGGCAGCACTTCACGAGTGCTTGTAGCATTTTAACATAACAAAAATTGATATAACAGTTAGTAGCGAACAAGATAGGCCCTCTGTGAGAAAATACTTTAGCATTTAAATGCTGGTTTTTCTCCCTGGCTAACACGGGCAGCCGTATCTGTGATGCTTGTGGAAAGGGAATCCTTAAAAAGTTACACACGAATTAAATAGGACATCATTCTTCAGTTTTACAGACTGATTTCGGAAGAAAAGTAACATCATCCCTTCTTGTCGTAGGCAGCTATGTTTTGTGGTTCACATTCAGGACTAAATAGACGAACTAGCAAAGCTGTGCTTGAGCTCATAGAAATAGCTCCACAAGTTGCCCATCTAAGACTTCTAGGAACTGTGATTCTAGGACCTGGATTACCAAATGCATTATCAGAAAAGAAACGGCATGCATAATCAAGATAAAATTTGAGTGACAATTAAATAAAGAAGCATGCCCTTCGGAGCTCAGTACTATTCAATATAGTCAAGGGAGATAGGATTGAGAGGTGAAAGCACAAAGAATTGTAGAATGCAGGATGTTGATGCAACAATCCTTTCATCTATCAAATCCAAAAGCCATTCCAGCAGTCAATTGACTACTTTGGTGATGCACAGAGATCAAAACTGAGAACATAAAATACATGCAGCACATGAAATCCCAAGTCCATAGGATCCTGCTGATCTTTGTCTCTTGCTTGCTGCATTTTAGAGCTTTTCTAGAATCAAAAGATCCAAATAATCAGAGCTCGCTAAGAACTGAACAGTCCCTGCTTATACGAAGAGCTCACCAAGTCAACTGTCCCCTTCTCTCTCTCCTTCCAGCCTGTCTATTCCGGTTTGTCCTCTTCTTTAACCTTGGGAAGTATTTCTTACATTATATTTTCATGCCTGGGCAGCAGACAAGCTCCCACAATTCTGCTTCCTAGTCTCCCTATCTTTCCCACTCACTTGCCTCAACAAAAGCATATTGCGCCAGTCTATTGAATACAAAAGGATTCATTAGGCCCATCATTACCCCAACAAATAGATGAAGATTACTACGCAGCGCAGGAGCCAGGAAGAAGGATACAGGGTAGAAACTCTTAGAGGAAGATATATAGCCTAGGAGCAGCAACTCTAAGCTTGAGAAAACTTTGCAAGTTAAACTAATGAAAAAGAAACTCTCAACAACCCACTTGCGGAGCAACAAGCTCACGCAGCACTTCATCTTCAAAACTCAAATCTTACCTTTAAGTTCTCTTTCTCAAACCAAGACACCTACACTTGACAATAAGCCTTTTTTAACACTTGATAAAGCAACCGTACTACTCAATATTTCGAGATCTATCAAACAAACACATCTTTTCATCGTTTTAAATTTAGAGATCAAAACTTCATTTAGTGCATTCCTACTCTCGTTTCATTCTTATATACTCGAGAGCACTTGAATTTTAAAAAAAAGCTCCAAAAAGTGAAAGAATGAGTATAAGCCATCAGGAGAGTAAAAACAGTCAAAGGAGAAATATATAGCAAACCATAGTGCAATCGGCAAAGAACCCAAAATCCTAATGCTCCTCCAACGGAAAAAATGCCAGCTGTTTGTCTCATAAGCCTTGAGCAGGGTTTTGCATCTGATCTCATTAACTCTCCATCTGAATACCCGAGCATACGCCTCAAAGCCATTATCCAGAAGCCCTGCTAAAATACATAGGGTGTAAAGAATCTCATCAATATGATAAAGTGTGAATCTTTAAACGGAACGTAAGCCAATTACGTAATGAAGTTCTTATGAAACAAATTTCTATTTAGGAATCTAGCTTGTTTTACGTATGGCTAACAAACTCCGCAAAGAAACCAAAAGTGTTTCTTGAAAGAACAACCATGACTCAACAAATGAAATTTCCCATATAGTAAAGCTTAAATTTAGTAAAAGCTTATACTAATTAATCTAGTCACTTGAGCAGCTTAGGTGAGGCATTTTCACAAGCAAATTGATGGCAGTATATAAAACTTACTCAAAATCGCCAATCCTAAATTCAATCCGAAACAGGCGTGAACGCTGTTCCAGCCACTGAAGGAGACTATAATGCTACTGAAAAAATCAATTATCGTTCTCGAGTACACCACTTACGTCGGGGGAAGCAGGTATTCCTTCCAAACCTTTTCTTGTCGCAAAGACTGCAGTGTTCTTTCTGTAGAAGACTACCAAATGTTAAGTAGGGGAGAGAAGGGTCAATTCAAAAAAACCCTTTCTGGTTTCTTATAATTACAGAAATACTCATCTCATTGCATCAAGTCTTTTTCTTTTAAGTACGAGAACATGTACTCCATCCAATTTTGGCGTAGCTGAAAGATAAGCAGACCAAGTAATAGGGATTTGTCATAGCACACACCAAGTTTTTACCCTTTAAGTACAGATAATCAGCTAGAGCTTGAATTCTAGATTGAGTTAATCTAAATGTGTCTCAATAAAAAATCACTCGTCAAAGCTGTAATCTGAGTAGTAAAAGTAACACTGAATAATCAATTGCACAAGTATCTTGTCTAGCTGCAGTTCGAACATACGTTTAACTTTGCATCATACCTGAGATGTACAATGAATGAAGCTAGGTTGCATTTGTAAAGAGAAAAATCCTCTCCAAGTTCTACTGGAGTTGGCATATATCACATATAAAATATAAAATCCTCTCTATGTTAACCACAAACACAATGAAAAGTACTTTTTGCAGGTTCAGTCGTTGGGCTAGAATTCATTCTCAACATATAGTTTTCCTTCTTTCCCTTTTTGATTCCCCAAGTTCTTCAACGATATACAAAGTAGCAGCTCAAAAATAAAGGTGTAGAGCAAAGAGATCAAAGTAGGAATCCCGAGCAGCAATAATCCTAGAAGAAATAATGAAAGCAGAAAAACCAAAGAGTCCGCAAAGAAGATAAAGAAAGAAGAAAACAAATAATGAGCTGCATAAACTAAACAATCATTCTAATCTTTAATATACAAATTAATAAAAATCCAGAAACTAAGCAACAATGGTATAGAGAATTGGGACTTATCATACATAGGGTCACATCAATGAGGGGCTGAGCAAACAACTCAACTGCTTTAACCTAGCAATGATCGTTTAAAAAAAATTGCCTCCTGTCTCTTGAAGCCCATTTATCTTCATCACATACAGGTCTACCTTCTTTTTTTTTGATGAAGTAATTGGTTTCATTAACGGAATCAAGAAGATGCATAAATTACAAAAGAACATAGCAATTGTTAGCTCCTTACAAATGTTTATACTAGTACTAGGGAGCTAACAAAATTCAAAAAACTATAAGTGGAGTCAATAGGGGAAAGATAAGCCCAGTTATACAAATACATGAAGCATCTGGCCTTGAGTTTGTGAGGAGAAGTTGATACTCCATCGAAACACCTGTTGTTTCTTTCATTCCAAATGCTCCAAACACATACAGGTCAACTTTTCACAGGGGAATTTCGCCAAATAGGTCTTGAAGGGAACAGAGGTAAAAACCTGATCCTAGTACAGGACAACACCAATCCACAACATTTTTTATCCACACAACTCAATTATATTAAGACCTATGCAAATCAGAACATATCAGATTGAATCTGAAACTGGATAACCAATGAGAAAAAATATATATAATAAATTTGTAACAAGAGACAGTTGGAACATGAGGAAACAATAGGGAAAATGGGACAGTTAATACTAATCAACAGTTACATACCGTAACATGAAAGAGGTAATTAGAATCGATTTTTAGAATTCTCTCAGATAAATTCACCAGAAATAATCTTGAGTAGCTAATGTGCAAAATTATGCAGCACACAAATAAAGAAGAAAAAAGTAATAGAAGCAAACTGGAAAGATAAACACAACGAAGCTAAAAACTGAAACCTGAAAAACCAGTAAATATATTTTTATCGGTATCTGCAATTCGAGCAATCTATAGAAGTTTAACATCAAATCTGCAGTAACAACGACTTCTACATGTAAAATATTATATAAGCAGACAGAGAGATTTACAATTCAAAGTATGTACTTACTTGTTATTCTAGGTAAACAAGATGACAATCAAAACAAAGAATTCAGTAGTGATAGCAGCACTTAGCCATGATTTACAAACAACACCAAATGCAATGAAATCATCGAACACTGTAACACGCTTCACTATTGTAACAAGTATATCGAATGAAAGTTCTGACCAATTCACCATTATTTCCTAGCTAGGTACGGGAAAAGGGCAAAGAGAATAATGAATTTGCTTTTGAGAACATTCGTATAGGCCCTATCCAGCTTGGACAAGAATTTGTAATCCAAAATAAAAGGTTTTCTCCATCTGTCAGACCAGTTCTAGTTACTTTTGGATTAGTTCTACTTTAACAGAACGGGAAGGTGTGGAGAACTTCGATTAATGGATGGTCTCGGAAATATCAGAATATCGCTACTAAATCAATAAAGAGCTTAAATAATGCCAAATCATGATCGAATACTGATAAAAATTCAGTACTGACTTGATAGTGTACCTCAAATTCGGTCTGAATGGTGCAGTTTTTAGGAAAATCATATTAGGTGATTTCACGGCTGTGCCTAAAATCTAACTTATTGTTTTACCCTAGAAATAATTGAATTGAACGTCCAAAAGCTCCCTTTTTCTCACACCTCCTATGTTCCTTTTTCCAACCAGAAAAAAGAGAAGGAATCAAGACAGCTTGGTTTTTCCTTTTCTATGTGATCACCCCCATATACACTGATGCGGGAAAAACAAACTGAATAGAACAACACTCCCATAAAAACAACAAATTACAGAAATCATAAAAGAGGTATTCAGAGGACAATAAGGAAAACAAAATCAAACCAAAGCAGGACCCAAATAATTACCAAATAAGTATAAAGAGCTCCGATTAACAGGTGATGTCGGAAGTAGCAGCAAAATCGGTAAACTTGAGGTCAAAAGAGGAGAAAGAAAGGGAGTTCTGATATCGCACCACCCGTCAAGTTGCTCCACGTGTGTTAGTTTTCAGTAAAAAATTTAAGAAGACCAAAATAGCCCTTGGTAAGCAGCGAAAACCTAGCAGAACCCCCAATTTTCTTATTAAAACAACGAAGAAGAAGAACCCCCATAAGAATAAACAACGAAGAAGGAGAAGCCAAAGGAACCCCCAAAAAACCTAGTAGAACCCCCTTAAGCATATAAGACTCTAGAAATTGCAGTAATTGTAAAAGAAGTAACTATACAGACAGCCGCAAAAACGGAGTCAACCCAACGAAGGACCCCAACAATTGCCAAATTGAACTGTGAATAACAAATTTTAGCACTCACCTGACAAGAGAAGCAACTGAGAAAATCGAGTAGATCGGAAAATGAAGGCAACACAGAAAAATGGAGACCACAGCGGAGAGGAGGAGAGCAGATGATTAGGACTTCGTATACGCGCACAGTTGTCCATATGAATTCACAAGTGTTAGGCTTTTGTACAAGCTGGGGTGCGAATGGAATTTCAGGAATAGGGTCTGCAAAAGAACAATAGGTACTGCATATAGTATGACATACTAATGCGTAGCTAATTTAAGAAGTAAACATGAAATGACCAAAATACCCTTTGGTAGGCAAGCTGACATCACGACCCTCAGCTGCTTCCCAAGCGGCTTCTATATAGTTAGTAAAAAAAAGTAATAATTTGATTTTAATTCATTAAACTGATTAATCCAAAGAAAGATTCATTAAAAAAGCAAAGAGCCTCGTTGCATTACGTTACAGCGAACATGCTAATAGTTTTACATCTTATAAGAAATTATTTACCGAAAAACGGATAGAATTGAATTTATACGTAGTTCTAAGGATATGTGGTATAACTTAACACGAATCGTAAGGATAAATAGAAAGTATCAAATACGGATGGTAAAGAATGAAAAATACACAAGGTTGGAAAGAAATAATTTAAGGACTAAACAAGATGAATCAATCTATGAAACCAAAAAGAATAACCCTTAAATATAGGAGTGTATGGTATTTGAGTTACAATGTAAGTGAAAAAACTTGGTCCTTACAGAAATAATAATTATCCCCTTTATAGTAGAGGGATCTTACTTTAGATATAATTAAAAATATATAGTGGGAGACCCATGATAAATTAGTTTTTCCATAATTCCTGCCAGGATTCTCTCCTCTAGTGGGATTGCAACGGCTCTTGTCTATGAGCTCGATATTGACTCGAGCTTTCGGTCTTGACTCGAGCTTTCGGTCTTGACTCGAGCTCGATTCTGACTCGGATCCTTGTATTGATTCGGGGTCAGTGTTAGTCGGTCTCTGCCTCATAAGCTCGATAACTTTACTTTGCATTATAGTTCGACTTGGATTCGAGCTCGATAATGACATCGAGCTCGACATTGATCGGTCCCTCGGGCTCGAAACTTGGTGACCTGACTTCGGACCTCAACCTGATACTATGAAGACGCTTCTCCGATCCAATGTATTACCATTTAAACCAGTTCATACGAAGGACTAACCGATTTTTACCGTATACAGATAGTCCCCTCGTTTTTGAGGAAGGATATAGCGAGAAACGACATGATTTCACAACGGCTCGATCAGATGTAAGCTGACGTTCACATTGGGCTCGATCATGACGCACGTGATAGTTTTCTCGTCGGTTTAGTTTTTCAAGGCATTTAATGTGTGTTAGACGGTGGTCGGCCATTATCGAAATTGAACCGCCATTGCTATACCTATAAATAACCCCATTTTCACTTTTAATCACTTTTACATCTTCAAACTCTAAATTTTCTAACTTATTTCGCACACTTTCTGAATTCACTCGCAAATTTGTGATTCTTCTCTGCAAAAACCCTTCTTCAAAAACACCAAATCTTTGTTACCTCATTCTATTCTCGATCTTTAAATCAAAAAAAATGGCGAAAACATCAAAAACCATTCCTCAGAAAGAAAAAGCTTCTTCTTCACAACCAACCGCCGACAAAACACCGATGGAGCCACGGCCTGAGGAATGCGTTCCTGGGGCGTGTGTTCTTACGTCTGATTTTAAGGTCGACAAAGGCTCGTCGGTTCCCGACCGATATGAGCCTGTATCGAGGTATATGTGTTCGATAACCCCTCGAACAGCTAAAGAAAGAGTGCAATTGGGAGAACAAAGAAATAGTAATCCCGTCTTCGAAAGAAGATATCACCACTTACGTGAAAGGGTTTTTAAGTGTGTATACTTACCCTTTCACGTTAGGTCCCCTGGACCTGTTATTATTGACTTTTGCCGTCAATACCAAATAACCCTAGACCAGATCCATCCTTCTTTTTGGTGGATGGCTATTTTGATCCGTAACTTTGTGAACAAGGGGATGCCTTTCACCCTCGACCATCTCATCCGATTGTACTGTCCTCGCCTCTTTCGAGGCGGGTTAATAAGACTTCAGCGTCGGGATACCAAGGTTCTGTTCTCAAGTATAGACGAGGACAGGGATCGAGGCTGGATGGGCAGGTTCGTTCGAGTAAAGACTTCGGAACTGATTCCGACTGAAAAGATGCAATTTCCCAAGTAGTGGAACATGAAGCGTAAGTGCAATTCTGTTGTTATCTCCTACTATTTTCCCCCTTCATTCCTTTTCTCACCGATATCCCCCTTTTCGTGATGCAGTGGTTCCTTGGATGCCCGGTGCAGTCCCCGATATCAAGAACTGTGTACGGGATCTAGCTTCGACCTTCACATACGCCGAGCGCTTGTGGCGTGATTTGTCAAAGGGCCGATGGGAGGCCAAAAATCACGGTGAGCTTCTTTCTCGTATCTTTGGTAGTTTGAACGAGATGCTTTCCATATATTCAAATCAATTTTCCTGTATGGAGGTGTGGGCAAAGATGCGGTTTTGAGGCCCTCATCCATCGAGGAAGAGGCTTCGGCCTCTGATCCAAAGTCGGTGAAAGATAATAAGAGGAAAAGGGCCTCTACCTCCGAAGATCCAAAACCGAAGATAAGGATGGCTTGAAAGCCGAGGAAGAATACCATTCCTTTGACCGTAGAATCAGTTATGCGTCTAAGGGATGAAGACGAAGAAGAAGAAGAAGAAAATGATGGGTCCGTGCTGGTGACCCGAATGAAGAAATTCACCGATGCCCCAAAGGCAGCTAAACCAATGGTGATTTATAAAGCTTCGCCTCAGATTGAGGAGATGTCAGGGGAAGGTTCGGGCAGAGTCCCCAAATCATTGGAGATCGAGTATGCTTCCTACCGAAGTCAACAAATGGTGGGTATATCCGAAGGGGCTGGTCCCGAAGCTCTCCGATCTGAGGAGACTCACCCACTCTCCCTGCCTTTTCCGAAGAGGCGATTCGGGAAGCCCAGGCTTTGGGGGCCCTCGAGATGAGTCGGTCTCATGAAGGGGAGGACCTCTTCAGTGATTTGTTTACTGGGGTCGAGGACATTGCTGGCCCTAGTGATGTGTCGGGCCTTTTTTGCGAAGTGCAGCAAGCTCTGAATCGGGTAAGCTTTAACTCTCTTCGTTGATATTATTTTTTATGTTCTCTATTCTTTTCTAACTTCTTTTCTTCTTTCTTCGCAGGACGTGGAGGTTCATCGAGAAACATGTTCTCGGTCTTGAGCTTAATTACATCGATTCGAGGCCGGCCTCCGACGAGCTACAGAGGAGAAGAACGCCCTCAGACTCCTTTCCGGTCAAAGAGAAGAAGAAATCAAAGGCCTTCGAGCTGAGTTGGCCAAGGCTCATCAAGACCAGACCGACCTGACCGAGCAGGTAATGATAATATTAAGAACTCATAGGCTTGATTCAGGATCGGAGGCTAATATTTCGATCTCACAGCTGCAGCAAAAACTCGAGACGATCGGGCAGCTTCGTGAAGAAGCTGATATAATAAGGGCGGAGATCATGAGATGGAAAGATGGCATGGATCGTCTTGCTGCAGAAAAGGAGACTGTTCGGGCCCAATTGCCATCGACTGTAAGGCAACTTCAAGGCATGAAGGAGAAGAGCTCAGTTCAAGCGAGAAAAATTGAGGAACTCGAGGCTCGGTTGGCCTTCGAACTTGCCGAGGCCAAATCTGATGCCGAAAAAGCAAAGTCCTATCCGAATGCATTAGTGGTCATCTATCGGGCGGATGCTGAAGCTGCTCAGGTACAAGCAAGAGAGGCAGCCGAGACCGCCAATACTCGAGCACATTGGGTTGCCTAACTTGCTAAATGTCGATCTCGGAGGGAGACCCTCGAAGAGATCCATGCTCGAGGCTTCGATCTTACCGAAGATATAAAAGGAGCAAAAGAGCTTGAAGCTGATGCTGAAGCCTTGGCTTCCGATGATGATGATGGTGGTGATGATGATGATGGCAATGATCCGATGGAGAAGAGACTGCCCCCGTAGATAACCAAGAAACTTAGCCCTTAGTTTTCATTTTGGTTTTTTTGTGTAGTGTCCTGTTCGGACATTGTAAATATTCTTGTATATATAAAGATCTTTTATTTTCCTGACTCGCCTCCATTTTATTCTCTGCCTTGAGAAGATTTTGTTTTATTCATGCCTTATGAAGGTTTTCATAAGGTTTTAGGCAATTTGATCGAATTTGGATCTTGTAGCCTTCATAACCGAGTGAGTGCTTCCTCAAAACTCGAAATAAGGTAGCCCATAGGCTTAGTAGTCGAGTTGAGTGATTGTTTGAACCTGAAGTAATGTGGCTCGTAGACTTAATGGTCAAGTGGGAGTTTGCTCGAACTCGAAATAAGAGTAGCCCGTAGGCTTAGTAGTCGAGTGAGTGATTCAAACTCGAGATAATGTAACCCGTAGGCTTAATGGTCGAGTGACCGATTCGAACTCGAAGTAATGTAGCCCATAGGCTTAATGGTCGAGTGAGTGATTGCTCCAACTCGAGATGATGTAGCACGTAGGCTTATTAGTCAAGTGAATGATTCGAACTCGAAGTAATGTAGCTCGTAGGCTTAATGATCGAGTGAGAGTTTACTCGAACTCAAAATAAGAGTAGCCCGTAGGCTTAGTAGTCGAGTGAGTGATTCGAACTCGAGGTAATGTAGCCTGTAGGCTTATTAGTCAAGTGAGTGATTCGAACTCGAAGTAATGTAGCCCGTAGGCTTAATGGTCGAGTGAGAGTTTGCTCGAACTCAAAATAAGAGTAGCCCGTAGGCTTAGTAGTTGAGTGAGTGATTAGAACTCGAGGTAATATAGCCCGTAGGCTTATTAGTCGAGTGAATGATTCGAACTCGAAGTAATGTGTAACGACCCGGCCGGTCATTTCGAGAGTTATAATCCCGTTTTCTCCATTCCTACTTCTTTTTGTGTTATTCAGCTATATTATGTTATATCGGGTAGGTTGGTTCGAGTCCGGAAGGAACTCGGAGTGAAATGAGATACTTAGTCTCATAATTAAAAATTTAAGTTAGAAAAGTGGATCGGATATGGACCTATGTGTCAACGACC